AAGGGACGACGTTCAAGGGGTTAACATCCCATTTCTTCCTCTTGGAGAGGTTTGTAGGGAATTCTTCTGGCTTGTAGGACCATTTGAAGTTGAAAGGTATCTAGGTGGGATGAGATAAAGTGAGTTAACAGATTTAGAAGACATGGTCCTAGAGTTATGGCTATGAGTAGCATTAAAAGATGTCCTGTCAATGGAAGGAGCCATTTCCAGACTCCCCACCCCCCACCCCCACGTAGCCCAGGTCTCAGATAATTCCTGTTTTATTTTTGAAGCTCGATGAGCTAGTTTCTTGGCCCCATCCCTTACAATACCAGACTGGTTAGCATAAAAACAGCACTCTTCCTCAAGGAACAGGCACAGCCCCCCTTTCTCCGCTGTGAGAAGGTCTAGTCCTCTTCGATTCTGGAGAGTAACAGCTGCCAGTGAGTCAATCTGATCCTGTACTACAATAATACTTTGAGCTATTTCTTCTAAAGTGTCAGCAAGGTCCTGGATAGGCTCTGATAGTAAGAGAGGAAAGTTGCCAGTCCCCCTATTCCAGTGCTAACCCCTGTTGAAATGCCGAGTGTTATAAAGTTCATTGAGGTGCATAAGTTAGAATGGAGGTCCTCCGTGTATTTTATAATAGAAGGACAGACTAGAATCAGACCATGCATGCAGGGAGGTGGGGACTGCCATGTAGCTTGTAGATGAGAGGGGAAGGCAGAGCCACCACTCCCTGGCTAAGGCTGGGTTGGTCTGATTTAAGAGGGAGAGGGTGAGGTTAAGCGTCACATAGAGATAGTGAGGACTTAGGAAGCTCTCAAGAGGCAGAGTGTAGACCTGAGAGTGGTCGAGATTGAGAGAGTTCAGTAACAGTAAAAGAATTAGCCTTAGCTTTATCTTGTTCCTTTGCTGTGTAGGAAGCAGTAATTTTATGGTGCTTCTGTGTTCCAGCAAGGGCAGAAGAGTTCTCCTCCTGAGACTAGCCTCGAGTTCTGGCAGCACTCATAAAAAGACAAAATGAAAATTACTAGAAAGATGAAAACAATGATTATTCAGAAATACCAGAGCATTTTGCCTTTAAGAGAAGATAAGAAAGAAAAATTAGTGTAAGGAAGAATTCAGCAGGGTGTTATCTAAATTCTTTGGAGCAGGTTGATCGGCCAGGTCCGTTGTCTTCTTGAGGGTGATCCGTAGGGGAGTGTTTCTGGTCAGAGGTCACCTTCCACTCAGGCTGGGTGTCGCTCAACTGGTTGGCTGCCTTCACCCTGGAGTGGTAGATCCAGGTGTTCGGTCCTGCAACCTTGAGAGCTATGTGGGTGGTTAGTATGCCTGGATAGGGTCCCTTTCAAATTGGCTTAAGGGGCTCTTTTTTCCAGTCTTTTACCCAAACCTGGTCTCCAGGTTTATAAGGATGTACAGCTGTTCCTAGAGAGATGTAACCCACCTGTGGACCTCAAAGACAGTTTTTCCAAGTCCTTGTAGTTGCTTCTGGATTTTTAAGTTTCCTATTTCCCCTAAATCTCCCTCTGGCCGAATTAAGGGAGGGGGTCTACCATATAGAATTTCAAAGGGAGAGAAACCTGCCTTGGCCCTCGGGGCACAGCGTACCTGCAGGAGTACAAGAGGCAAGATATCTGTCCAGGATAAGGTTGTCTCTTGGCATAGCTTAGCCATAGACT